TAATATTAATAAAAACTATAATAAAAACAATGTTGAAATAACACTGTTCTTAATATATAATATGCATATACAATAATATAATATTTTTATAATAATAAATATAGCTGCAAGCAAGTGTGCATCAGACCAGCTGCAGGAGATTTGGAGATGATTTTAAGCTAAATGGTTGAAAGCCTAAGAATACAAGCACTTGTCATGTGACGTGATTGCGTATTACTTTTGACCAATAGGTGGCGCTGACACCAAACTGATCTGGTTTGGTCAGGGTTGGGTGGCAGTGACATGCACCAATTTTAGTGTCAATATATCAAATGTTTCCAGAGATGTGCAGTTTGGCATCAGACATCATGTGTTGATGCGGTTTACGAAAACAGTTTCGTCTATCGAAGATGAACCGACTCGAATTTTGCGGAAAATCGGTAAAAACGGTCTAGGAGAAGATATTAATAAAAAAGTTGGTTTTAATAAAAGATCAACAGGAAGTTTGAGAGACTATGGCAATATTGGTATCCTCAAAGGTTATTTCGTTATAATTTTTGACCACAAGATGGCGCTGTCCCACACCCGTGAGTATCTTCAGGGCATTGGGTCGAAGACAGGTTGGATATCGTTTGAAAAAAAATAAATAACAAAACTTTTATTTAACTTCTAAAGTCATAATGAAATGCTCACAAATCAGAATCAAAATTTTAATTTGATATTTGATAACGCTAAAAAAAGCGCTAAATAAATAAAGGTGATAACAAGTATCTGATTCCCAACTCTATCGAAGACTCGAAGGTTTTGTAACGAAATTCTCTCTCTCTTTCTAGTCTTGCGCTCGATCCGCTCTGCTCCTTGCTTCTCTGTGATTGGTCAACTGAATCTGAACGCCATCGTTCCTCAGAAGCCCCGCCCACAGCATGGATCTGACTGTCAATTAAAGTCGCTCTGTCATTCCTGGAGCACGGGAAGTCTGAGTTCGCTGTCGTCGATCACGCTCCAGATGCTCAGCGCCGACAGCAAGGTCTGGACGCCGCGAGTGCGCTAACGTCACGACGGATTCATATTCATCTATCAGCAGTTATTTATTTTTAATATTCAGCTGGCCAATGATTCGACACGTACTATACTGTCAAACCAAAATTTATTCAGACACCTTTAACATCATCTCAGTTTAGAAACGCACACACAACACAGGTTATGATGGAGCGAGGCTCAGGTCTGACGCATGAATGTTCTCGACCAATCAGAGAAGAGCTGCTGAGTTCAGAGCTCTGTGATTGGTTGATTTATCTATGATACGTGATATCTTGTTTCTGCAACTGTGGGAGTGGGAATCTCTTTGTGATGTGTTTGGTTGTGTACATATTTGTGTGTTTGGTTATGAAGAGTGTGTGTAAAAGAGTAGGAGCGTGTTTCTGCCACGCAATAAAGATATAAAACAGGTAATTGTGAACTTTTGAGGAAAAATATTAGTGCAAAATATAATGAGATATAAACTCATTTTAGAAAAGAAAGTCAAAATTGTGAGATGAATTATGATAGAAACTCACAATTTTTAGGAAAAGATAAGATAAATTGCGATATATAAATGAAAAAATCGGAGGAAAATAGTCAGAATTGCGATATGTATATGGCTTGATATAAACTTATATTAATAATAATTAATCAGAATTCTGAGATGCAAACAAGCAATATTGTGAAAGAAAGACTGAATTACCTTTGTTTTTATTCCGCGGTGGAAACACACTTCCATATAATACAGTGATTGTGAATGAATGAGGGTTTTGTAAAACATGAATAAGCTTTTTTCGAAATTATTTGTGTCAAACTTGGGAAGGTCACATGGTGCTTTTATTTATAACTCATTTTCCTGTTTTTTGTTTTTAAAAAGAGTTGAACACATTGTTTACATGATTACACTAAAACCGCAAGTGCACATATTCATCCAGAAGCAGAATTATTATTCATTATCGAGAGATTAGCACCATTTGTCTACTAAATGAATTGCATGTGCCAAAGGTTTGATAAACATATGTGCCTTAGTTAGATTATTCACAAATACAAGCCAACAGCAATTTGTCACAAGTATTGAATATCATAACCTGATATTGTAGGTTTATCTTGATGTGTTCAACACTTTGATTGGTTTATTGAAACAATAAGCCTCCTAAAGCACTTAATAGAAATAAAGACTTTTTTTTACACTGTTTGTGTTTGACTGATATTCATTTGTTTAATACTTTAAACAATAGAAGATGTGTTCAGAACCTCTAAATTTAATTAGTTCTTTAATACATTTTTTTTTACTGTAGTCACAAGCCGAGTCACTTTTAACAATACGGTGTTTTCAAAGCAGCTTTACAGAGATAACAGGAGAATAATGCAGCAAAGTGTGTTTCCAGAAGAAAACAGCATCACAGTCCAGCTTAAGTCAGTTCAGTGATGCTTTATTTCTGTTGTAAAAAGTTATAAATTTAGTTAATTTATTTATATAAAGCTCTGGAGAAAACCGTAATGTCATAATAGCTGTTGAATGTCAGAAACAAATATCAATAGTAATATAATATTTGTCAAATGTATTTATGAGGGTTGATGTTTAGGAATGTTTCAACTTCAGATTAAAAAAAATTGATTATGAATGTTTGAAAAAGGGATTAATTTTAAACGCTACTTGTCTCATGAATATTAAGTCACGTTTCTAGCGCGAACTCATTAATATTCATGCGGCGGCTTGCGCTCAGCGCTCGGATTGGTCGGGGCGCGCTTCCACGAAGCGCATGCGCAGAGAGCAGCGCATCCTGTGCGCGGTGCGGAGAGGTCTCGCGTTGCGGGCGTCTGGACTTTAAAAGCGGGCGTCACCTCGCGTTTCCGCATCAGCATCTTCAGAGAGAGGACAGCCGAAACACTCGCGAACACCCGATGCTGGTAAGTGTCTGTCTCTGAACAGATGACGTCATGTTCATACACACACATAAGCGCGCGCGCTGAATATTGATTATACCGATTGATCCGATGCATCTTCGTTGCAGTAACTTTACAGAATTGAGGATTGAATTGAGTTTGTCATGCACAGGGTGCGCGATATGAGAGCGTGACTTGACACTTCTCACTGTCACATCATGTGTATAGGCTATATGATGATGATGATGATGATGATGCATGGAGCATTTGTTGCAGACTGTGTGTTTGTGCAAGTTCTGGTGTGCGTCATTAATCGCAGCGAATGTTTTGGGCCGATCTGAGCGGATCTGTCATGATCAACAGCAACTTCTGTGTGTGTGCACTACACGATGATGTCATCGCTGGATTTGGTCAAACTTATCAAATATTCACTTTAATACGAGGTTGCATTTCCAATTCTATCGCTAAATGATTATAATTAACAGATATAATTGGATATAATCCTATATGCAACGGAAAACTGTACAATAAAATGCAATACACTAGTTGAGTCTTGCAGTTATGTTCTATTTTGAATTTTATTGCATAGAGGATTATAATCAAAATTAGCAGTTATTAGCGCCTTAAATTTGATTGCATACAGGATTATAATCAAAGAGCTGTATGAGACTCCAAGAGACTTCACTAGTATAGTAGGCCTACAGTATAGCATAATATAAGAGTCCTGCATGATTCTTGTAATTTCAGATTTAAATTGCAAATATAGATTTTTTTTTATTGCAAATAGGATTATAACCAGAGTTGGGGTATTCAATCATTGCTTCACTGTACAATAGAAAAGTAATTGAGTCTTGCATTTTTGCTGTTATATTTTAAATTGAATTGCATATCTGCAAGTCTGTAAATTCTTTTCCAAGAGTATTTTACAAAGTTGTTATGCAATACTATACTTGTATTTCTTGTATCTTATAATATTTTTGCAATGTGCAACATTGCAAAAATATTATAAGATATAATCATATGCAATTTTATGGCATATGATTATAATTAAAAAGTTGTATGATTATAATTCAGTAATGCAATAGTATACTAGTAGAGTCTTGCATTTTTGCTTTTATGTCCAATTTCAATTTATTGCATATTGGATTACAATAAGAGTTAGCTTAAATTATTAAACTAGAGCTGAAGTTATTAAGTTTAGCATCATGTTTGCTGTTATATCTGTATGTTAGAGCATTATTATAGTACAGTATTGCATAATATAGTAAGAGTCACTGAGTCTTGCAATTTTGCTGTTATATCCTATTTCAGTTTTTATCTTTTATTGCATATAGGATTATAATTTGTGTTTTTGGTAAAAAAAAAAAAAAAAAAAGAATAATTCCAAGCATATTTATTGGCTATATCATGCAATACTTTACTATACATTTAATTATTGAGTTTTGTATTTTTGCTGTTACATTTTATTTAATATTTTATTGCATATGCAAATATAAACGATTTGTGTTGTCCAAGATGTGTAAAAGTGAAAAATCTAAATTATACCAAACATAGCTCGACACTTATGAGTTTAGTATCCACTTGTCTTCTTGAATGACTTTATTTTTTTTAATTTATGAGTTATTAATGAAGACAAACACAAAAATCTAACATGTTGAATACTGTATCACTGTTGAGATCAGTCAAAACAACAGCTTTTGGCTGATGCATAGAAAAACAGTGTGTGTGTGTGTGTGTGTGTGTGTGTGTGTGTGTGTGTTTTGTATGTGGGCTGTTGTGCAAAATATTGCTGTATAATCACACTGATCTTCAGTGAAGATCTGCAGCAAACACATTTTCCACCCCAGTCCTGTGTGTGTGTGTGTGTGTGTGTGTGTGTGTGTGTGTGTGTGTGTGTGCGTGTGTGTTGCCGTATAACTTGAGACGCTGTGCTGACGGTGCAGTTCATGTAAAGGTGATCTGGTCTAAGAGTCACACAAACACACGTGAAACACGGCTGATTAACAGAAGAAATGTAATTACTCAGTAGTCGTCATTTTTTAGTTAAAGTAAAGTTTTTAGTGACCGTAATTAATGAAGCTAAGTAACTAACGTTCTCACTCTTCACAGGCGATTTATCGTTTGCAATGATGTCACTGCAGAAGCCTCCCCTCAGACGCAGCGCATCGACCGTAGAATCGACCAATCACAGCGGCCCGTTGTTGACTCCGCCCTCCTCTCTCAATTTACGCTCCTCCCACAACCAGCAGCTGAGCTGCGACACCATAAAGGAGGGCGTGGTCGCGGTTTCCAAGGAAGCGCAAGGCTCTGCGAAAAGTCGTCAAAACTACGCATTGACGAATATTCAGAACGCAATGGGTTTGAGCCAAAACCCCGCCCCTTTGAGCCAAAGCCACGCCCCCGTGCACTTTAAACCCGCCCCGACCAAATCCGCCTCGTCGTCGTCTCTCTACTGCTCCTCGCTTTCCTTTTCCACATCCAATCCCAAACTGGCCAAGAACGGCACTAACCTCCAGCTGAAAGAGGAGCAGATGGACCTCAACAAGAACGACAAGAACCTCCTGAGCAGGAGCAGCTGCGATTGGCTGGAGGGGAAGGACAACCAGAAGAACCCAACATTCAGAAGGAGAACCAAGAGCTTTCTCGAGTACCATCGGGAGGAGGAGGCGTCCAGCAGTCCTAATAAAGACACACATGTCGAGGAGAAGCACCTCCTGCCGAAGCTGGAGGCGCAGACGTGGGCTAAAGAGAACCATGTGGAGGTTCACCTCACGCTCCCACAGAACCACCTGCTCCTGCTGGCCAGCGAAGAGGAGGAGGAGAGTCCAGAACCGGCGGACGTTTACCAGCACGTGCTCCGGCCGAACAACGAGCGCGTGAGCCGCGTCAGAGACGGGTACGGCTGAACAAATAATCGAATTTGTCTCGATTACAAGTACAAAAAAAAGCTCACTTACATTATTCTGTGTGCTTAAGATGTGTTTTTGTTTTTCTTTCTACAGCTTATTTTAAAGGTGCAGTGTGTAATTTTTAGCAGCATCTAGTGGTGAGTTTGCGAATTGCACCCAACAGAAGTTACGGTGGCCGACATGGAAGTGATGTCGTCGCCTGAGACCGCAGAGAGTAGCCAGCTTAGCATTGAGGTTTCTTTTACAAAGATAAATTAGGTTTATTTAATTATTCAGGAAAACGATGTTAATGTGAATATTATAGTCATTATTGTAGTGTTTTATTCGCTGACTTTAGCAGCTTCTTTGCTTGAAGAACAACATAGTGACGAAACGCGTTTTGTCCTTTCAGGGCCACCGTAGACATGTCGATGTAAGCGGACCCGTGATGTGTGTGTGTAGAGAGAAACGCCTCATACTAATCTAATAAAAAAACATAATGGTTCATTATGTAAGGTCTTTACACCACTATGAATATGATATTGCATTTCTGTCAACAGATCCTCCTAAATATTACACACTGCACCTTTAAGGGTTTTTTTTTACTTTGGTTTGGTTTCTTTAAATAAATAAAAATTCATATTTGGCATTTGTGGCTTCATGCTATAGAAAAGCACAAAAAAGAGTGTTTTCAGCTTGTATTTTGATATAACAAAATGGTAATGTAATTAATGATAATCGTAGTTAATTATCGCAATTACAAATTCAAGGGAATAATCGGCAATTATGATTTTTGTCATAATCGTGCAGCCCCAGAGATGGGAACGTCGCTTCTCCGAGCGGAAAGATCCAAATGATCCCGCCGTCCACGTTACGCCTGGAGCTGAGAGGAGCCGAGGAGTCGAGCGAACGCCCGACGCGACCCGAGAAACAGCTGGAGGACGAGGAGGAGGAGGAGGAGGAGGACTCCAGCTGGACCACGCTGTCCCAGGAGAGTCCGTCTGTGGAAACGCCTCCGGAAACAGGTGACGACCTTTATTCACAATCATGCTGATGCAAAGCAGTGCTGGGGGAAGTTACTTTGAAAAAAAATCTGTTATAATATTGCATTACTCCCTTAAAAAGTAACTAATTGCTTTACTCAGTAACTTTTAAAGAAAAGTAATGCGTTACATTATTGTGTTACTCCCTTAAAAAGTAACTAATTGCTTTACTCAGTTACTTTTAAAGAAAAGTAATGCGTTACATTATTGTGTTACTCCCTTAAAAAGTAACTAATTGCTTTACTCAGTTACTTTTAAAGAAAAGTAATGCGTTACATTATTGCGTTACTCCCTTAAAAAGTGACTAATTGCTTTACTCAGTAACTTTTAAAGAAAATTAATGCGTTACATTATTGTGTTACTCCCTTAAAAAGTAACTAATTGCTTTACTCAGTAACTTTTAAAGAAAAGTAATGCGTTACATTATTGTGTTACTCCCTTAAAAAGTAACTAATTGCTTTACTCAGTAACTTTTAAAGAAAAGTAATGCGTTACATTATTGCGTTACTCACTTAAAAAGTAACTAATTGCTTTACTCAGTAACTTTTAAAGAAAAGTAATGCGTAACATTATTGCGTTACTCCCTTAAAAAGTAACTAATTTCTTTACTCAGTTACTTTTAAAGAAAAGTAATGCGTTACATTATTGCGTTACTCCCTTAAAAAGTAACGAATTGCTTTACTCAGTTACTTTTAAAGAAAAGAAATGAGTTACATTATTGCGTTACTCCCTTAAAAAGTAACTAATTGCTTTACTCAGTTACTTTTAAAGAAAAGAAATGAGTTACATTATTGTGTTACTCCCTTAAAAAGTAACTAATTGCTTTACTCAGTAACTTTTAAAGAAAAGTAATGCGTTACATTATTGTGTTACTCCCTTAAAAAGTAACTAATTGCTTTACTCAGTAACTTTTAAAGAAAAGTAATGCGTTACATTATTGTGTTACTCCCTTAAAAAGTAACTAATTGCTTTACTCAGTTACTTTTAAAGAAAAGTAATGTGTTACATTATTGTGTTACTCCCTTAAAAAGTAACTAATTGCTTTACTCAGTTACTTTTAAAGAAAAGTAATGCGTTACATTATTGAGTTACTCCCTTAAAAAGTAACTAATTTCTTTACTCAGTTACTTTTAAAGAAAAGTAATGCGTTACATTATTGCGTTACTCCCTTAAAAAGTAACTAATTGCTTTACTCAGTAACTTTTAAAGAAAAGTAATGCGTTACATTATTGCGTTACTCCCTTAAAAAGTAACTAATTGCTTTACTCAGTTACTTTTAAAGAAAAGAAATGAGTTACATTATTGTGTTACTCCCTTAAAAAGTAACTAATTGCTTTACTCAGTAACTTTTAAAGAAAAGTAATGCGTTACATTATTGTGTTACTCCCTAAAAAGTAACTAATTGCTTTACTCAGTAACTTTTAAAGAAAAGTAATGCGTTACATTATTGAGTTACTCCATTAAAAAGTAACTAATTGCTTTACTCAGTTACTTTTAAAGAAAAGTAATGTGTTACATTATTGTGTTACTCCCTTAAAAAGTAACTAATTGCTTTACTCAGTAACTTTTAAAGAAAAGTAATGCGTTACATTATTGTGTTACTCCCTTAAAAAGTAACTAATTGCTTTACTCAGTTACTTTTAAAGAAAAGTAATGCGTTACATTATTGCGTTACTCCCTTAAAAAGTAACTAATTGCTTTACTTAGTTACATTTAAAGAAAAGTAATGCGTTACATTATTGTGTTACTCCCTTAAAAAGTAACTAATTGCTTTACTCAGTTACTTTTAAAGAAAAGTAATGTGTTACATTATTGTGTTACTCCCTTAAAAAGTAACTAATTGCTTTACTCAGTAACTTTTAAAGAAAAGTAATGCGTTACATTATTGCGTTACTCCCTTAAAAAGTAACTAATTGCTTTACTCAGTTACTTTTAAAGAAAAGTAATGCGTTACATTATTGTGTTACTCCCTTAAAAAGTAACTAATTGCTTTACTCAGTAACTTTTAAAGAAAAGTAATGCATTACATTATTGTGTTACTCCCTTAAAAAGTAACTAATTGCTTTACTCAGTTACTTTTAAAGAAAAGTAATGCGTTACATTATTGCGTTACTCCCTTAAAAAGTAACTAATTGCTTTACTTAGTTACATTTAAAGAAAAGTAATACGTTACATTATTGCGTTACTCCCTTAAAAAGTAACTAATTGCTTTACTCAGTTACTTTTAAAGAAAAGTAATGCGTTACATTATTGCGTTACTCCCTTAAAAAGTAACTAATTGCTTTACTCAGTAACTTTTAAAGAAAAGTAATGCGTTACATTATTGCGTTACTCCCTTAAAAAGTAACTAATTGCTTTACTCAGTTACTTTTAAAGAAAAATAATGCGTTACATTATTGCGTTACTCCCTTAAAAAGTAACTAATTGCTTTACTCAGTAACTTTTAAAGAAAAGTAATGCGTTACATTATTGTGTTACTCCCTTAAAAAGTATCTAATTGCTTTACTCAGTTACTTTTAAAGAAAAGTAATGCGTTACATTATTGCGTTACTCCCTTAAAAGTAACTAATTGCTTTACTTAGTTACATTTAAAGAAAAGTAATACGTTACATTATTGCGTTACTCCCTTAAAAAGTAACTAATTGCTTTACTTGGTTACTTTTAAAGAAAAGTAATGCGTTACATTATTGCGTTACTCCCTTAAAAAGTAACTAATTGCTTTACTCAGTTACTTTTAAAGAAAAGTAAAGCGTTACATTATTGTGTTACTCCCTTAAAAAGTAACTAATTGCTTTACTCAGTTACTTTTAAAGAAAATAAATGCGTTACATTATTGCATTACTCCCTTAAAAAGTAACTAATTGCTTTACTCAGTTACTTTTAAAGAAAATAAATGCGTTACATTATTGCGTTACTCCCTTAAAAAGTAACTAATTGCTTTACTTAGTTACTTTTAAAGAAAAGTAATGCGTTACATTATTGCGTTACTCCCTTAAAAAGTAACTAATTTCTTTACTCGGTTACTTTTAAAGAAAAGAAATGAGTTACATTACTTTTGCGTTACTTTTTTCTCAGCTGGGCTGTGCTGGTTTTTCATGTTTTATTTTTTAAGTTCTATTTTGTTTGCAAATGTTCTATAATTTAAGTTAATATATATTATAATACACATAATAACGCTGAAGGAAATGCAAATTGACTTTCAGTTTAACTCGATCATCAGCGAGTACATCGGTCAATAAAGTGAGATAAAATGCATACAAATATTTATTTTGTTTAACATTATTGGAGGTTTGCATTGTATTCTGATTTTGCATTTAGCTGATTTTATTCATTTTGAGGAATTGTGAATTTATTCGTTTCGTTTTCCCAGTGAGATTTATTCTAGAACTACGATAACAATAAATTTACTCACAATATCTCTCAACATGAGGACAGGAGAGTCAGTCAATAAATGAGAAAACAAAGTAGCTTTCGTTACTTATTTGAAAAAGTAATTTGGATATTTTGTTGCAAATTTAAAAGTAATGTGTTACTTAACTAGTTACTTGAAAAAGTAACCTGATTATGTAACTTTTAAGTTACTTGTAATGCGTTACACCCAACACTGATCAAAAGTACAGTACAGTTGAGTGGTTATTATCATGTGGAATATCAGTCTCTGGGATTGTGTGGTGTCGCAGGAGTGTGGGAGGAGCCTCGGCTGAGGGAGTGTTTTTGGCGGGATCAGCCTGACCTGGAGGCGGAGCCACGGGCGAAGGGGGCGTGTCTTCCTGTGCCCTGCTCTAAAGCTCAGACGGAGGTACACACACATTCAGCAGACAATTTTATCCAAAGTGACTTACAAATGAGGAATACAGCAATCATAATGAGGCAATAAACACGGATATAAAGTTTCAGAATAATGCAATCGTGTGTGTGTGTGTGTGTGTGTGTAGCGGCCCAGCAGTATCGTGTCGGACAGCTCTGTGGAGCCCGTTCCTTCGTCCGCCTCGTCACCCTCCTCTTCCTCGCTGTGTTACGAGGCGATGGGACGCGCCGCCAGTTTCCTCAACAACAACTACCTGGTAAACATTTGAAAATAAACACGTTCACTCGTGTCTGGACAGAGGAAACGAGCCGGAGAAGAGTCACACCTCAGAGGAGGCGGAGCCCACTTATGACATCATCACCATAGACCAATGAGACTTCAGAGGCGTAACTTTCCCAGAAAGTTTCAAACTCCCGAAAACAAACTCAAAACGAACTTCATATTAGCCTGAATTTGTTCACAAGTATATCAGAGCGGTGATGCTGTGAACCCTGCCAGTCGGTACAAATATTAAAGCTCAAAACTGATTTGTGTACATTTGTGTATTTAGGTTGCACATATGGCAATAATAATGTTAAAATAATAACCTTCTAATTAAATTATCGTATTTTTGCTCCTATTCATTTTTTTAAATATAAACATTTAAACAGTGACTTTCATAACTTGTTTTCGTAATTAATTTATTCAAACTAGGGATGGGCAACGATTAATCGCATCCAAAATAAAAGTTTGTGTTTACATAATACATGTGTGTGAAGTGTGTATAATTAATTTGTATATATAAATACCCACACATGCATGTATATATTTATGAAAAATGTGTTATCAATATATAAAATATTTATATTTATATATAATATTAATTGTGAATAAATATATATAAAATATATATATGCACATATTTCTTATAATATATACATGCATGTGTGGGTATTTATATATACAAATTAATTATACACACTACACCCTATATTATGCAAACACAAACTTTTATTTTGGATGCGATTAATCTTTGCCCATTCCCTAATTCAAACGCACATACAATAAGTTAAAATATAATGCATATGTAATAAAGTGTGTATACAGTCGTCAACAGTTGAAATGGATCTAAAGCTTTCATTAAAGATATACATGAATTTGAACAATACCCATTCTTGTTTTAGCATGCATATATATATATATATATATATATATATATATACACACACTCACAGGAGTCAACATTTGAAGTGGATCAAAAAAGGTTAATCAAACTTTTCCTAAGACAAGAACGAGTATTGTTCAAAACTCTACTGTATAACTTTGATGAAAGGTTTTGATCCACTTCAAATGTTGACTAGTGTGTGTGTGTGTGTGTGTGTGTGTATGCGCTATGGAAGGCAAGCAAATGTTTTCTGAGATTTGAGACTTTATGCAGGTTTTCTTCCGTTCTTTACAGGACCTGACGGAGACATGCGACTCCCGAGAGAAGCGTCGCGAGCGCGAGCGACAGGAGGAGCGCGAGAGAGAGCGACAGATGAACCGAGAGAGTTTAGGAGCTCACGGCGGCCCGTACAGCTTCATCAACCACAGGTGAGGATCATGGGGGATATTAATCATAAACCCGCAGGACAGAATTAGTTTCATGCTGATCTCTATCCTCCCCAGAGCTAAAGTCCCATCAGCCCCTGCAGACACCGTCATACCCATCAACGACCTGGACACGCAGGTAACGGCTCTTCGACAGGTGTCAATCACACACGGGGCTCTAACTGAAGATTAACACAACGAGCTGCAAAATATCAGCATTAAACCATGATGAGGAAGACACGCAATCACAAATAAA